AATCATGGCTGTTGAAATTATAAGTTATTTGAGTGTCGGCCATTTCATTTGTTTCGGCACTTTGCTGCTGTAAATCTGTCAAAGTAGCATCCATTACCATCTGGGACCCTTCACAATCATGGTCTTGGGTAATGTTCTTCAAACCATCATCCGAAATGGGTTGTGCTTGTCCAACAGCATCCAATGTTTGTTTTTGTAATCCCTCATCAGTATCTCCATGTTCGGTCACTAGTGTTTCTGGATCAATGGCTCGTTGAACAGATAGAGGAGGCATCATTGTAACCGCTGTTGTGTTTCCTTCATTGTCATCCACACCTGTTAATGTCAAATTCTCAGAATTTTTCTCATTAGAAATTGTATTGTGCTCATGTGAACGATCTGAACATTCTGGCAAAAAATCATTGTTCCCATTTTGTGTTTTTAAACCCACATCAGTATCCATTAATTTTCTTTCATTTTCGAGCTGGACAGATCTTCCATTCTTCACCCTTGCATCGGCTGATGTCCCTTCATCCTCAATCATACCAGGAACTGGCACTTCATCAGTAACTTTCCCATTAGTAAAATGCATTTGTTTAGTAACTAGCATTGAATCCTTGTGGATTTGTGAATTTAAACCATGGTGCAGCCGCTTGGATTGAGGCTCAGTCAAATTCTTCTTGCAGTCGACAGACAAATGACCCAATCTCCAGCAATAAGAACAGTATGACGGCAGATTCTCTGGTACTATCTTTTGCCAAAAACCTGATTCTCCTTCAACAGCTATCCAGACCCTTGGTACAACTTGCTTCGATACATCAATTTCCACACAGACCCTGGCCACACTAGGTCGTGTCCCAGCAGCCGTTGCCGAATCCAAGAACAAAGGTCTTCCTACTGGAGAAAGTATGGAGAACAAAGAATGTTTATCAAAATAATGAATAGGTAAGTTAGGAAGATCTACCCAAACTGGAGCCAGAGATGACTCTTTATGAACATGAAACTCCCTGGTCCATCGGAATACACGCATCGGATATTTACCCAATTGCCAAATCCCTCTCATCCAAATCCTGTTGAAATCTACTTCAGCGGTGCACTTAATCAAAACATGTCTATAATCCATCAAACCAATGGAAACTTGGTCTTTCAGATTTAGTGAAGAAAAGAATTTGCGAGTATCCTCCAATGAAGGTCTTCCATGAGAAAATTTTCCAACCAAAGTCCATCTAAACGGTGCCGCAAGTTTGTCCACATCTTCTCTGGAGAAAATAACCGCAGCTTCACCCTTGTAAACAGACACATGCTGAATTTTGATAGGTGATGTAGCAGGCTGTGAGAAAAGTTGAGAAAAGGATTTTTTTTCTGTAGGAGACCTTTGCCCCTCAGCCGATGGCTGAAGGGCAGCCATGCCAACTAAGTGATTTCACGAAGAAACTAGGCTTTTTAGAGAGAAGGTTTTTTAGAGAGAAGGCAGAGAGAAGTATTAATTTTTGTTTTTGCATGAGTTTTAAATATTGAGATTAACATAGCTAAAAAATACAAAGAACAATAGGGCTGATCGGGTAAGAGTAGATAGTCTCCGTGAAGCATCAATAGCACCACATCAGTTTTTACAATTTGCGAGCTTCATTGAGAATGAAGAGGTCAGTTTCATAGAAAATTCTACACACCAATTTGAGGATCAATATCTCATTGATACACAAGCATCGAAGTTGGTCTGTGAGCTTCAAGGTGTTGCAATCGGTCATTTCCACCATTGCACATGGTGGTCCTTGTGTTAGATGCAATTGTTGATCGTGTTCATCATGAGATTGTCCTGATGGCATGTAACTTTTCTTGTGTCCTTTCGTGCATTGATTTGTGATCAAATCGCTTTATTACTTGGTTATATTGATGTTGGGTATTTATCTGACCTACAAAAAGTAAGACCTCAAACGAACTATATCTTTACATGTGGTGGTACAGCTATTTCGTGGTAATCTACAAAGCAATCAATAGCTATCACTTCTCTAAATCATGTTGAAATAATAGCAATTCATGATACTGGTCAAGAATATATTTGGTTAAAATTAATGACCTGTTATATCTGGAAGAATTGTGGGTTATCTTCTGAGACAGAAAATCCTTTAACTACATTGTATGAAGAAAATGTAGCAAGTATAGCTCAATCAAAAAGAAAATATATTAAAAGAGGTATAATGAAATATATTTCACCAAAATTCTTCTTTACTCATGATTTGCAAAAGAATAGTAAACTTGATGTGGCACAAATTCAATCAAGTGATACTATGACAGATTTATTTATCAAGGCATTACTGATTGCAACACTTGAGAAATTGGTGAAAAATATTAGAATACGTCAATTAAAAGATCTCAAATAATGTTTGCGTTAGGGAAAGAAATTAATAGACAAGAATAGTGTACTCTTTTTTCTTCACTAAGATTTTTTTCTCACTAGGATTTCCCCCTAATAAGGTTTTAACAAGGCATATTTTTTGTGTAATAAACATCCAAGTGAGAGTGTTATGAAATTAATGAAGTGATAAATGTAGATGTTCATTTATCTTTTCAAGATATACATTAAAATATTCAACTCCCTGCAAGGTTCATTGGTACATTGATGTATCTTCTTGTAAATCATTATCCCATCACTATTTTTGAGATGATAAACCAATCACTATCTTAGAAATGATAAATTTGTCACTATGTTCGAGAAGATCTTATCACTATCTTGATAAGAATTATAGTCAGTTGTTGTACTTTGAACTTTTTTGTACTCCCTTATAAATAGAGGTCACCCTCTCTTGTATCAATGATACAAAATTCAAGATTATTTGAGTAAATAAAAGAATAGTTCTTCTTTCTTACTTACTTTCCTCCTTTTCTAAATTCATCAGTTTTCTTGATTTTCTTAGGCACAGTGTCCATTATATAAACAACACAAATCTTATATCATATTAGTATTAGTTTTATATTATGTTATATTAGTTTTATAACATGATACCGTATCTTTCTAGTTTTCTTACCAAATAAACAGAAACCAAGGCTAGACAAAAATTTTCCCCTTTCCTTAAGCATGGGATTGTGTTAAAGCTTTAAGTGCATAACTATGGTCTACAAATGATGGACGATCGTCAATATGTTCCTGCCTTCACAGGCTACATTGAGAGGAAAAGGAGTTGTAAATTGACCTTTTACTTTGGTCTAGGCCTCCTAGAAAATGGCCCAATAGCTTGCAGGACGAGGGGCCTGGACGGTTGTCAGAGACAACCGTCCCAGGCAATTCACGGCCTAGATGAGACCTTAAAAATTTGTGCGGCTCAGATCACGTCTTGTAACTCGATTTTCACGTTGTGTAGGACCCTCAAAAATGTTGTTCTAGTGTTATTCGCTGTTGTTCTATTGTTACATCTTGTACAGATGATGTTACATCATGTACAAATGGTGTTATACCTTCCGGAGCGGCCCGCGTCCTAGCTTGCAAGCATGCACTAGGTTTTTATTTGTTGCTTTTTGTTTTCATTTGCTATATCTTTAGCATTTAGTTTTTCAATCAATCCCTCACTTTCTTCCTTGTTTGAGTTTTCAATTTGTTTGCCATTTTTATATAGTAGGTCTTCAACTTTTCATTTTCATCCTTAACTTGTTTATTTTCAAGCATAAAGTCATCTACTCGAGATTTCAAAGTTTTATTCATAATATTAGTCCTTTTTAACTTTTCATGCAATTTTTGGTAATCATTTCACCTAAAATATCATTTATTTGTTCTTTTCCTTGTGAACTTGATGTTGTGTAATCTTATGTTTTTAAACTCGAACCGGACTGACGGGTCCAATTGGTCAAATCACAGACCGGCCAAATGTCTGGTTCGAGTTGTCCTAAAAACTTGAATGGTAGAAACTCGGTCAATCCATTCAAAAATTGGATTAGATTGAAAAACATTAAAAGCTGTAAGAACCTAAGTTTTTCATTTTTCTTTTTTGTTGACTTTTTCCCCTTGTCTCTAACTCTGAATCTCTCTTCTCAGCAAATCTATTTTCACCTTTTTCAATTTCTTCAATTCAGCCATCAAAATCAATGCTTGATACCCTTCCTTAAATAAGATCTAATTCTAAATGTTGCATACAAAGGGAGAAAAGATCCAAAAAAATAGCAAAAAGAGAGATGGAGAAGAGAGAAGTTTGAAGAAAACGGATAAAAGTTTGATATTTTGTGAGTTTGAGAATAAATAACAAATAAAATAAGAATGGAAATGAAAATTAAGAAAAGGAGTCAATAAAATTGCAAGTGAAGAGAAAGAAGATGATGTAGGAGTAGTGGGACTGTTGCATCAGCGATTAATGTTTTGACCCCTAGGGTGTTGAAAACTATTAATATGCCTGAAATATTTCATAGTCTATGAATGTTATCCTAAAGTTTGGTGTTATTTTTCAAACAATTCCATAATTTTAGTTCGAAACTTGTTCATGTTCATTGAATAATATAAATTGCTACTTGATTGTTCTAATTTTTTGTATTTTCTTGTTAAATAGATTTGAAACATCAAATACATATGAATATACCTTTGTTGATATCGACATGCGCTTAGATATATTACATAGTATTTAAATTTCTAAATAATATTTATTAATGCCATCATCCGATTCTTTGCTCCAGTCCAACCTGATCGAACCCTTTAACCTCCAATCTCCGCCAAGTTATTGTCCAGTTCAAGTTTTAGAACACTGGTGCAATCTTCTTTTTCATCTCTATATTTAAGATTTTTTCCTTCATATGCCTCTTGCAATTTTCTACAAATTTCTTTAGCATTTTAAGTTCTTTTACTTTTTTAATGTATTTTCATCTAAGGCATCAAAATAATATTCATAAATTTGTGCCATTATTTTTATTTTTATTTTTTTATTTTTTATTTTTTTAAATAAAAGGGGAGAACCCCCCAAATTTTATTCAACAGCAACAAAATCATACGACGAAGGAAGCAAACCCTCCCTTCAATACATGCCAGAAAAATAAGAAAATACCTAACAACTAACGTTTCGAATATATGGATAGCCCATTGCATCCAAGTTAATCAACGACCGAGCCCTACTTGGAAGCAGATGATGAGATTGGAAAGTAACAAATGGACTCTCCCAAGATAAAGCCGCTAGGCTGTCTGCCACAGCATTCGCCTCACGATAGATATGCGTAATGGTCCCCTGCACCTTACCTAACAACAACCGAATCTGGCTTAAAATGCTACACAACGGCCACTTACCAATCGATTGACTAGTAACCAGCCGGGCCAACACTAGAGAATCTACTTCTACTAAAATATCTGACAACCCTGTCCCAACACACCACTGTAGACCAGTTAACAACGCTAACCCTTCCGCATGTACCACCTCACATTCCCCAAACTCCTTATAAAAAGCACCAAGCATCTTCCCTTCAAAATCCCGTACCACTCCTCCGCCTTTCGCCAACCCATTTGACACACTTGCGTCGGTGTTCAGCTTGACTGCCCCTCGAGGAGGCTTCCTCCAAGATATAGCTTGCGGACAGAAAGATTTATGTGGTTTGAGCTGAAAATACCGTGCAAAGTAGGTATCCGTATCCCCCTCCAACTGAGACCTTTTCAACATACGCGCAGCCCCCAGAGCAACCAACCACCCATTGATGTCTGAAATAACTTTAAAGCAAGCCGAGGGAACATTACCAAACCGAGCGTCATTTCTACTACGCCACAGAAACCATAACACTACAACAGGTATAACACACCGAACATGATCCAAACGCCCACTCCCAGAAGATTGAAACCACACCACTAGCAACGAAGAAATGCATGAGAATGAAGTCCACGGGATACCGCAAGCGCGGAAGAAATGCTTCCAGACAGCACTTGCCAAGTTGCCCTGCACAAAAATATGATGCAAAGACTCCTGTGAATCACCACAACAATCACACTTGGAAGCCAATGAAAACCCTCTAGAACGGAGCTTGTCATCCAATGGCAGAAAACCAGCCAAAATCCTCCAAACAAGGTAAGACATCTTTAACGGCAGCAATGGACACCAAATTCCGCGCCACACCAAAGACAGGTTACGCCGCTGTCTAATTAAATCCCATGCAGACGACACAGTGAACCTAATTATTGATTCATGTGTTTTTATATTTTCTATTTAACTCTTTATTAGTCTTTTCCATAGTTTTACTTTTCTTTATTGTTATAAATCTAAATGGACCATCTCTAATTATGTAGTGTAATGTGTAACGCCTTGAGTCCACAGGTTGACCCAAATTATTTGGTAGCTCATAGACTCAAGGTTATATAAATATGGAACTTGGGTCAGAAAAATTTAAAGTCTAAGTAGTTTGCTCATGAAAGTAGAGAAGTTTTAGAGGGTAACTATTTCAATCTAAATAAGTCTTTAATTAGATCTAGATTACAAAAGCAGACTAAATTTTATTATGGAAAAAATGCACTTTTCATCCCTAATGTTTAAGGTGTTAACCGATTTCGTCCCAAACATTTATGCAAAACATATTTCATCCTTGTAATTTTATAATTGTGACTAATTTCACACTTAAAGCTTTTTTCCACACTTAAAGCTTCACACAAACACATTTCATATTCATAGTTTCATAAATTTAGCTAATTGAAGACAATTGATGGATTGTCAAGCAATTTAAATGGAATATCGTCACTTGACCACAACATGCCTATTAGTAAAAAAAATTATTGGATCAACAAAAAGCTCAAAAATCTTTTCTTAATTCACTTTCTCATTTTAGTACAAAAAAAACCTAAGAAATTTTTAACCACTATTACTCTCTTATTAATCACAATCGAATAAGAAAATCTAAAGAAAATGAAGTCGTGGAAAAGAAACAACCCTATGTAGCCAATTGGAGAAAAATGTCAAAGAACCCCATTACAACTAATTGGAGAAAAATATTAATGCAAAAGAACGAATGCTTTGGATAGTCATTTATTTGCAAAATTTTATTTTGTTGCATCACATACAAGTTTTTCAATCATCTATTTATCTTTCAATCTATTTGTTTTATCTCAAGTACATCATATCACAAGTTTTTTTTTTTTTTTTAAAAGAGAGAGATAGTCTCCTATCCAAAAACACTTGTTGTTATTTTTATAATTTAATCAATGACTAAATTAAGTATTAATAATACAATTACTAACAGGACAAATGATGATATTTTGTCCAAATTGGTTAACAATCATTTAATTTTCCTCAATTGGTAGAATATGAGACTATGAGGATGAAATGTGTTCTACATAAACTTTAGGGACAAAATTGATCAAAATTCTAAAACTATGAAGATGAAATGTGTTTTGCATGAAATTTTAGGGATGAAATCGGTTAGCACCTTAAACATTTGGGATGAAAAGTGCATTTTTTTTCGTTTTATTATTGATATGCATGATCCACTAGCGATAGCAGGTATTATAATATTAGGAAATGTAACTATAGTTTGGCATAAGAAGTTAATCAATTGACAAAGAAATTTTGAAAATTTATCCATATATTTCACATTTTATCCAGAAGATTGACTGTAACCTAATTACCTTATTATTGATTGATTCATGTGTTTAACTGCTTTCTTTATAATTTAAATGCATAAGAATATTTTAAATTATTGTATGATTATCTTTATAAAAATTATACTAATTAGAACAAATTAATGGGGCAATAGTGTGACCACTATAATTATTTGACCATAGTTGAATAATGTCTTGACACAAAATACATGCATTTGACAAATGTCAAGATTCTTGCCAAGTGTTAAAATTATTGCTGAATGACCAAATTGGCATCTGAATATACCTAACTACCATGCAACCATTTGACCAAGACAAACTTATTCAACCAACCATCTTGACTTTTCTTTTGTCTTGACACCGAGAGGGAGAGGGGGAGATTTAGCTCTATTTTCTTCTTTCACTTGAAGACAAGAGAGAGAGAGAGAGTTGAGGGTGAGGGTGAGGGAGAGATTGCAACTTCCTTGTGTCCAAACCAGCTGCATTAAGGGGATAAAATAGAGAAAACTTGGTGCATTTCATCCTTGAGAAACTAAGGTAGAAGGAAGTGAAGCTGTCTGCGTTTTCCAGCTTTCATTTGTGAGGAAAAGGGAGGTAAAAATTGCTATAAACCCCTCATTCTTCTAATACTCTTGAGTACTCTAGTTGCATGTCGAATTTAAGCCAAAAGGGAGGAGCTTTGTGGAAGAAAATTCACTTTTCCAAGCTATAGGTTGTTGGAAATTTCAGTTTTGATGCATGTGATGGATAGTTTTGTTTTATAGCTTTGCATTTGGAACTTTGATAGATTTCTTCACTAAAAACTCATGCCATACACTTCGTCTCATGTTAGAAATGATACATTGTGTATTTGCCATGAAACTAAGTGAGAAAGTTAGTAACTTGGATGAACTTGGATGAAAATTTGTTGGCTGGCCGAGTGAGGGAGAGAGAATTTTCCAGCTTTTCTCCATGAATTATGGCTGCAAAATCTCATATTGTTGCTCAATATACTTTATAACACATTAATCTTAACATGCATGTTGGATTTGAGTGGAAAATAAAGAGTTTTATTCGAGAAAAATTCATTTTTCAAACTGTTTTCTTACTGGAATTTTTCCAGCTTTGAGCTGAAGGGAAAGCTTGAATCTTTCAGCTTTATTTCGAAACTTTAGATGAAAAATTTGCAAGAATTCATACTATAAGTCTTAATTCTCACTTTATATGATTTACGGTGTGTTGTGTTGAATTATAAAGGTTAAAGATTGGTGCTTTAACTAGAAACTTTGGAGAAATCCTAGCTGGAAATTTGTTGTTGGAACCAAGAGGAAAAGCTGCAATATTCAGTTCTTGTTTTTCAGAAATTTTGTTGAATCCTATTTAAAAGCACTTTACATATCTCTTATCTCTTTCATCTAGACATGCATGTAGTGTTTTGCTTGAATCCAAGTGAGATAAGTATTGGTTTTTGAAGGAACCTTGCTGAAATTTCTGTTTATGATTGATGCTTGAGGGCTGTTGGAGTAGAGCTGAGAGTTTGCAGCTGTAACTCCAAAATATTGCTGGTTTTGGTCAAGAACTCACTTCATGCACCATTTACCTCTTTTATCTAGGCATGCATGTGGTATTTGTTGAGTTAAAAACAAGAAAAGACTAATTTTTGAAGGAAACGACAAAGCTGGAATTTTTTTGAACCGTGGAGAATGAGCTCCATTTCTTCCAATTTTGTTCCAAAAATTTGTTGAGTTTTATTAAGAATTCATTTCCTATGTCATTTACTTCATTTACCTCAACATGCATGAAGTATATAATTGGATTAAAGTAAGCAACTTATGATTTTGCAAGAACTTGAGCGTAACTATAATTATACTAGAATGAACGTTAAATATATTTTGGGTGTCTTTTAACGATTAAACCTAGTATAATCGACTTAGAATCGGGTTTGGAGATGAAAGAAATTGCACTTAGTATTTATTTCTAGAATTATACCCCTCAAAAGTAAATAACTACGGTACATGTAATATGTCTCAGGAGGCACTAGTGAGCGAGAAAGCAATCCCAAGACTGAGGTGTAACTTGCTTGACTTGAGTGAGTGTTCTTAAGTTGTTAATACTTGTTTATTAGGTTGTTTGGTTTTGGTGGTTGTTTGCATATTGGTAAACAATATGAATGAAAAGAAATGAAGTTATTTGCTATGTTATTGGAATTATTGTTAAAAGGCTAGGGCGTACTTTATCGCCGCTTGCCTTATTGAGCTGAAACAGTTTATCACCATGATTGTTGAATAGAATGTGCATGACTGTAGGCCGTTGTGTACTTTATCACATCGGCTGAATTGGGTCCTAAGCCATTGGCAAGTTGACTTAGCCGAGCTAGTAGTACACTTGGTTGATTAGGTCAGCCACCTTGGGCAATTGTACCGGTAAACTCAAGTATTACCCTAAAGTTTGGAGATTATTGAATTGATTAATGGATGTAGGGGATTGTTTATTGTTTTGGAGGTTGAGGGAAAGAATGGGGGAGTGAGCAGAATTTGTATCCTTTGAGTTGATTGATTACATCTGTTGAAATTGATAACTTGAATTGGTATGTTTACTGAATATTTTCTATTGTTTATTGGTTACTTATCCCTTTTGAACCTTACCGAGGTCTAGCCCAACCCTTAGTTTTGTTTTCCTTATAGGAGATGAAGTTGGAAGAAGCATCAAGTAGAGATAGTTGGTTTAGAAGTCCAATTTGTATCTCGATGTTAAAACTTGAATTTTGTGTTTAATGGACAGATTTATATTCTAATCTGGCTGGGGATGTATTTAAGATTGAATGTTCAGATGTTTAATGGGAAATGTTTATGACTTTTGATAGTTATTATAATGATTCCCGGCGAAAGTTAGGCATATGGTTCGCTAAATTTTAGAGTGCGCCTTAGGGTGAGTGGGGTCGTCACAGAAAAGGATGTGGCTAGGAAAATATAGGAAATCAAAACCTAAAACTCATTAATTCTTAATACTTTGTGAATTTTTGCTCTTTGTTTTGTTTGTCTTGTTGGTAGTTTAATAGTCTCTTGCTTAAACTCGTTGTCTGAATAATTAAGTGATTTGAAAAGCATAATTAATTACTTTCTCTATGGAATTCGACAACCAATTACTCACTCTACTAGAAAACGATTTGTATCCATGTAGTGAGAAGTTGGGGTTTAATATAAATTTCTTAACACCTAAGCTTCCAAATTTTGGATTTTTCAAATACTCAATAAATTGATCTCTTTCACTGGTAAGGTCAAAGCCCCTTTGCACATGAAAGACTATTTATTCTCCTTCAGCTCTAGACTTTACACTCTCCTTGAGTGACCTCTCAATCCTCTAAACGGATTCAATACAAGAAGAATACACTCCAATTAATAAGTGTGGATATTACAATCAAAGCTCAATAGGAAACACTCTTTTGCAAGGTTGAGTACTACAACAAAAGCTGAACTATATTAGAATGGATAATTTAAATTAAAAGCTAAA